AATTCTAACACAGTATACGCCGCGCACACGCCGCCATCAATCTTCGCCTAGTCGATCCATTCGTGTCATCTTGGATCTCTCTTCTTGTTCACTTGGCAGATCGACATCCTTCGCACTACTAGGCAATCGCACGCTTATGCCCTATGGGCACAGGGAAGCAAGGCCTCTTGTCAACCCGCTGGCAGGCATCAAGGACTTCGGTCATCAAGCATTCTTCGTGCACGCATCTTCCCTTCAGAGGTGTTGTGGGCACCCACCGGAATCCCACGTTTTGCCGTGTCTCGTCGGATTCGCCGATGCGTACTCACTCCACTGATCCGCCTGGCACGACAGTGTCTAGCTAGCAATAAGGAGACCTTTGAGAAGAGTCACTAAGCATTCCAGCAGGAGAGACTGCCTGCACACGAAGCGAATAATGTGCAAAATGTGCAGCAGAACTTCCGTACAAATTCATGAAATGGAACGAGTAGCAAGCTAATTACCATTTTACCTTTAATAAGCCACTGTTTCTGAAGTATGCTGAAGAAGATGGTCTACTCTGGACATCAATGAAACTTCGATGAACTGAAGGGAAGACTGGGACAAGCTCTTTACCACTTATGAGGACGAAAGTTGCTCCCAGATTATCCACTCATATACATATTTGGCTCATTATTATGATATCGATCAATTAACTCTTTTATTATCGTGTTTTTATGTCTCACTTTAATGGTGCATTTATTACCCGCTGATTGTTTATTCTTCTTGTAAGCTATGGAACGTTACATAATCGATTTCAGCTTGGTTTTCACATGAGATAACGATACAAGAATAGCTTGAAATGCGGGGAAAACTGCGACCGCAGAGAAAAAAGACGCATACGCTCAGGTAAGGGGAGACGTTCAGTTCTCCTTCTTGGTCAGGTCATTAGAGCGCGCGATTCCTGAAGCCTATGGTTACGCTTGGGCTTGGGCTTAGGTTCAGGAATATGCTTACCGTGCTTCAGAACACATTAGCTTATGCTTAAGCCTACTGGACTAAGCATAAGCTAATGTGAATTGGGCCTAGGCTTAGTCGTAGGCTTGCTTCTAGCAAAGTGGTGTCTTATTTTGGATGACCTGACCAGAGAAGGAGAACTGAAACGACCCTCAGCAACCAGGACAGGATACTGTTCATCAACGCATCGAGACGACCACTTGAGAGGTCGCTCTGCTGGAACTTTCGCGTAGAAGTTTGCCTTTCTTGTCCTGCAGCCCCTCTTTCGCTGGCTTCGCTCATGGTTAACTACTCGTCTTCTGTCTATTTAGCTTTGAACGATTTCTAGTGGTTAGTTAGAAGGTGCTCGACTTCAGTCATATGACCGCGCGGTATCTTAAGAGGACAAGGCAAAGCATTATAAACGCGTAAGAATATCTCTCCACCTATGTAAACACGCACAATGTGTTACCAGGATTTCTCCATTTATCAACGCAGACAGCTGTTTCTACAGGAAATTATACAGTATTTTGCTTTAATTTCGATAGCCATATATTATCCATATACATATTAGTTTGTCCAGTTGTGTCTTTATAGCCGCATGGTTTTGCAGGGTCACTTTATATTGTTACCGTAATGCCGTAACTTTTGCCCACACTGCACACAACTCCAAATCCGGAATTGAGTTGGAATTTGTATTTTCTGCTTTCCGTTTTCGTTTTCCAGATATCCGCCTTAATGGCATTTCATTTTAGGTGGCAATCTACCTGGGAAGTACTACCTCCAACAGTTTCATTTGCACTGGGGTGACAATGACAATATAGGAAGTGAGAACACTGTCGATGGAAGACATTATTCAGCAGAGGTGTGCTTTTGCAGAGAAGCAGTAACAACTTTCTGACGGACTTAAGCCGTTTAGACAGAGCGAGCACCCGAAGTAAAGCGTGAATTATAATGTTCTGCTGTAGTCACGTACAATGCGCGACGCATTGACGCGCTGAAGTGCGTGCTCGCCTCCCACTATTCGTTTTCTCTGCGCTCTCTCAAAGGAGAGAGAATATGTCGAGCCAACCGCCAACTATACTGAGCGCCGTTCATGTAGGAGGTGGAGGATGGCACGCACGCCAGAGTGGCCTCGCGCCTAGTCTAGCGCGGCACCCGAGGGATAACCTCCGCTAGCCCGCGCGCTGCGCTCATCCATTTTTGGATTGCTGCCCAAGCGGGTAGCCTCATTGTGAGCATAACCCATAGGATTGTCATTGCGGAAATCGCGTCGATCGACGCGCATTGTACGTGACTACGGCAGGAATGTCGTAATTCACGCTTACTTCGAATGCTCACTCTGTCTAACCGGCTTATCTCCTATCCGAGCTACTTTTAGTGTATTTCGTCGTGCGGCTAGGTTTCCATATATAAAACAAATATGTATGTGTTAAACGAACATTTAATCCTGCAAGCCTTCTCGTTGCAAAAAAGCTAACATTAAAGGAGGATTCCATGAGGAGGTCGAGGTTCAAAGAAAGGCAAGAATCCTAGTGAAAAGACAGGCGAACATCTTAAGGGTGTGGGCTGACACGCAATTTCCTGGGAAGGGCGTGCTCCCGGCGACATAGCATGGCTCTGCCCGCGGCGCTATTGGCGCGGTACGCCCATCGACTGGCCAAACACTTGCATTCAGAGTGTCTAGACCAATGACCCTGAATTCTGATGAGTTGTCTTCTAATCGTAAACTCCACCTTTAACAGATGCCGATGTTCCATGAAGAGATGTTGAGATTGCTGAACATTTATGGTCAGAAGAAAGGAAGCTGATCTCCTAATAAAGAGCTGTATATGATGCTACATAAATTTGGCACCATCTTTTGGAGCCATTTCTATTCATGACTGTTAGCTTTTTCAAGCTCAACGTGCCACTGCTTCAATTAGCTTCCTTTGAAAATAATACCAGCATTCACGGCTTATCATTCGCTTTCCAGCTCATGGCGCAGTCAAGACCAAGCGAAGCGCTGTTATCTCCTAGAGCGAAGCCTGATGTTTTCCAGTGGGTAGATTCAGCCTCAGCCTCGTAATTTCCGATCGCTCCGCAGTGCGTCATGCACCAGCTAAGAAAAGGTTATCTTCGTTCCACCCTCCCTGCTATGTGTGCCCGTGCAGGTATAAGAAAGATGACCTGGAACTTTTGAGTCCAAGTAGTCAGAAATGCTCTCCCCCGCTTGGCTTCTCGAAAATTTCCATGTGGCCGACCACGACCATGACCACAAATACCAGGAGACCATGTGGGCTGTGGAATCGATTTGAGGCGACCAATTGCCACAATCGAAGCTGGAAGGGAATCTACCGAATCAGCTAATAATTGCATAATATATGATTGTTTTGCTGAGGATCGGTTGTTTTCCTTTTGAGCCGTCTACATCGCATTCAAAATGTTCACGACATAGAATAAACATCAGCAATTCATGACTGCTCCATGACTAATGTAGAAGGAAATGCAGCCCTTTTCCTCCCCCGGTGGTACTAACCCCTGAATAATGTAGTAATTAAGCTTTATAACAACGGCGCTTAGTGTTTAGAAAATCGAATCAAATCGTGTTTCCAAACAAATGCATAATTACAGGTGCATTTTGTTCATTTTATGGAAGGTCTTCATAATATGTCAGAAGCTGCAAAAACTCCACACGGCATCGCAGTTGTGAGTGCTTCTACGATTTCTGGGTGCA